AAGAGAGAAACAACAAGGGTTAACAAATGGCCATGGCCAGAAATGAGGGAAAACGAGGGGAAGATGGAGAAAAATAAAGAATATAATCAGTAAAGAGCAAAGAAAAACAAGAAGAACAACAGCAAGAGAGAAGAAGAAAAAGAAGAGACAAATATAGAGCTGACAAATGACAGTGTTCAGGCAAGGAATATAAAACAGGGAAGACTGGTAACTAACAGGATGCAAATAAAGAGGAACATTATAAGCTCATTGGGCAACACCAGCGGCTGCCGGCGTGTCCTTGGTACCTCAGAGGGCCTGGAGTGTTGGCAAGGTCACAGGATGCCAGCGTCCTTGTGCTACCGAGGGAGACCACGAAGGAGGAGAGAAAAATAGAGAAGAGGAGGGGTGAAGGAAGAGTTCCGTGTGTGTGTGTGTGTGTGTGTGTAGTGGAGATCAAAGGCCTGTCATTCACCTTCCACGTCACCCCTACCACGCCCCTCACGACCTCAAGTAGACGATAAAAATACAACATCAACCATTATCAAAACATGAAAGCAGAAAATACTGACTATTCACACTTTTTGACGAGGCGAAGCTGAGTGGTCAGTCTGTACCTTGTTGTCGAGGATATTGACGTCTCTCACTCTCTCTGTCATTCCTTCTGATAGCCATGATGATGACGTCACGATGTCAACAGACCATATGACAAAAGACATACGGGTTGCGTCATACTCCTAACAAGTGCTCCTTCCTCGCTTTATTAATTAGTACAACTCCCGCGAGGTCTTGCTACGTCATAATAGAGATGAGGTTTTGTCTCATCAGTTATGAGCTCATCCTTCTATATAAACAATGAAGCATAGTAAGACAAAATCCTCGCGAGTTGCGTCAATTTCTGATTCCGGATTCTCAGACATTTACGGAATAATAACAAGAAAGAATATTAATTCATTATTGACATCCGTTCACACAACTTTTGAATGTAGTCGTGTGTGTGTGTGTGTGTGTGTGTGTCTTGGTGGTAGTGGTGGGACCTGGATATATAAAACCACATTGAGTAATTATCTCCGGGCCAGAGTGTAAAGGTGAGATGTGTGATGACGACCTGTTTGGCTACGTCACCCCACCTGGCCTGTTGAGTGGCTCACTCGGATGGGGGTTTAATGGGAGGTTATGGTGTGCATGGGGGCTGTCTGGGGCCTTTAGGGTGTGCATTGGAAGGGGGTTAATGGGGTTTATAGTATGTGTGGGGGCTGTCTGGTATAAATGTATGAATGGGGAGGGCAGGAGGAGGAGGAGGAGTGGTCTATGAGGGAAGGACAGACTTTCCGGAATGGGTTGATGGTGAATGGGTCGTATGGGTTGGATCGTGTGAACAGAGGGGACTATAGGTTGGAGAAATTGGGGGTTAATGCCACTGAAACATATCATTGACGGAAGGAAGAGAAGGATATCGCTGAATGAAAGTGAAAGTGGGGACTGTACTAACCCCTGTAAGAGTCAGACGCCCTCAATACAGCTAGATGCGAACCAGTGAACCTTAGGATGGGAAACAAGTACTCTATCCACTCGACTTCCTCACCTTTATTGCTCTATATACCTCGCCCCAAAAGACACCCCCCCTCGGGTAATTTCTGTATACCTGTAATTATCACCTTCTTGATATCTTAACTTAAGAAACTGGGAAGATCCGATGACTTGTTGACGTCCATTCGAAACACAGCTAAAGAGGGTTGAGTGTTGCTGGTGTACATAGCAGGTGTTGAGGGTGTTGAGGGTGTTGAGGGTGTGAGAGTAGTGCAGAGGTGTGACATAATGGTAGTTGTACCTCAGGGTGTGTGTGTGTGTGTGTCGGGGGGGATTCATAAAGGGAGGGAGGGAGGGAGGGAGGGTTCAGGGCCGGAATGGGGAGGGTCAGGGTTGTCCCTTTAGGGCTCAAGGATAACGGAACAGGATCTGGACGAGAGAGCGAGGGGGAATGGGGGGGAACTCCTCCCTGGTGGCTGTGAACTAAACTCACTCATTCACTCACTCCTCCTCCACCACCTCAAGTCTCAAAAGTCCTTCACAGTCTCAAACCTGTTGAAGGATGCAGACATAGGAGATATAAGAGGAAATAGGAGACGAGGAGACGTGTATTATGGGGAGAACATGGCTTGTGGCTTGTCTGAAGGATGTAGCCTATCAGGGGGATTTGACTTAGCTTATCTGATGGACGTGGTTTATCAGTGGGACGTGGTTCACCTGATGCACGTGATTTAGCTTATCAGAAGGACGAGGCTTATCTGAGCTCTATTTTCCTCCTGAAGGTGTACACAAGAGCAAAAAAAAACTCTATATATCTTTTATTCTCTCCAGGTGTGTAGTGTATTGTAGAGGGACGGTGACACCCATCCAAGACGCAAGAGGAAGAAACTCACACGACCGCTGCGTAATCTTATAATAGTCACCACCCCTAAGGTCTTTCCATACCTTATTTTCCACTTCTACATGAGAGCTCGTGTATCCTGTTGCCATGACAGTAGCAGAAGTCAAGCTGTTGTCTTTATTCCAGTTGGTTTAGCGAGAGAAACTGTGCCGGGTCTCTCGTCGGTTAGTTGTATCGAATTTCACAACATGTTAACGTTGGCTTGGGTAAGGTTAACCTCTCGCCTAGAGATTCCCGTAAACAGGGTCATCAGGTTACCTCCCCGTGTGACCTAAAGAAAAAAGCTGCCAGTTGGAGGGGGGGGGGGGATAAGTTTTCTTTATATGGTATGAACGATTTCACCTGAGGATTACAATCTTGTTCATCCTATTGGACCAAAGTCGTTCTCTTCTTGTTCCAGCCTCCCGTTAATCCGGTCTAACCACATCAAAATAAACCTTCTTTACAGACCACTTTACAAATAACTTTAATAATTGAAACACTTTGATTAAAACAGCAAATAACAGTAATTAACTTGTTATAAGAACGAGTCACGATCATAATACAAGGATGAAGTATTAAGGTAATTCCTGGAGGCTTCGTCTGCTTACAATACTCCCTCACTACCACTGTTATAACCTAACCTAACCTAACCTAACCTAACCTAACCTCACCAAGCGGACCAATATTGTAGGTCTAGTGGGCCTCAATCCTGTTCAGCGTCTATGTACATTAGAAGCACACACAAAACAGTTAAAAATTCGTTCGTCCATATGTGTACATTCAATACTTACATACCGATGAATTAATATGATCAGAGAGAAGATAGTTGTGCTGTACAGACATGTAAACACACACACACACACACACACACACACACACACACACACACACACACACACACACACACACACACACACGGGCAGAGAGAAACTGAGAGAAGATTACCTTGGCGTCCTCTCTCTCACCTGCCCGCAACACCTGTGATGATGATAAATAACAACAACAATACTACTAACAATAATAATCAGAGAAAAAACAAACAGAAATTAAACCTAACCTAACCAAAAACAGAAAACCAAATCAGTCACCCACTAGACCTACTTCTTCCCGTTTTCTTTAGCTGGGTGGACTACAATAGAACGGGTCAGTGTGGTGTGTCTCGGGGTCGACTTGTTTTTGTACCCCAGAATAACTCATCGAGGTGTGCTGGTTTGATAGGTCACAGCAAAGATGGATCGCCTGAAGATTCTCCTCCTTCCAGATGATTTCAATTGAAGATTAACCTAACCTAACCCAACCCTAAAGCTAACCTAATTTAATTTGACCTAATCTAATGCTAACCTATTCTATCCTAACCCAACCTAACCTAATGCTAACCTATCCTAACCGAACCTAATGCTAACCTAACCAAACTTAACATAAACCCAACCTAACCTAACCTAACCACCTTAACTCATCTCTTCTTAACTTCTTCTTCTCTAAGGTTCATGTTAGCCTCTTTTGATCGCCCCCGCCTTCCTCTCGTCACATCACTTAACCAAACCCTCTTAGCTTCCCTCTATCATCTTACTCACGTCATTCCTGCTCCTGTGTTGATATTTTTTCTTCACTTCTCAGGTTTTCTTTCCCCTCACTTCCTATTCATCATGCGTCAAATGCTCTTAATCAAAGCCCTAATCGCTAAAAACCCAAGGTGAAACAGTTAAATAAGTTACATTAGTCACACCGTTTAGCCGCATGAAATAATAATGAACAGTAATGCTTCAAATATAAACCCGCATCATTATAGCATGAAGGAGAACGCCAGGCGATGTTTATTGCTCGGGCTGGCATTGTGTTTATTCGCGGGGCCCCAAACCAACACTGAAATACAGAACTTGGCTACTTAGTCCATCAAGATGTCATTTCCCTTACGATACAAGACATACAGTTATCTTCTACACACCTTAATACCTCTGTGTTGAAGACCCTCAAAGCAACGCATCAGTAGCCTCATCAAAGACCTCCGCGGGATACCTAACCTCTCTACTGATTACTATTCACCCGGGCACCTTCGCCACGACACGTATACTTGGAGATATGTTTGTATAGACTCCCCATAAGATGTCTTTCAATGGGATTTGATACGCCATGACTGAGGTCTTGCAGGTCTCAGTGTGGAACAGATGGGGAGAGGAAGTTAAGTTAGGTTATGCTAGGTTAAGGTTACAGGGGTTAAATCCATTCTGCCTAGGCTATAGGCGCTCAATGAGCTCCTTTACAGAGACGTAATGACACACGTCCCTGGGGGTCAAGAGGTCTCCGCTAATCTTTCGACAATTACTTTACCTCGACGACCTATCTCAACAGCGAGTGACATCCAAGTACTTCTGTTTCTGAGTGAGTGTAGTGGAAGGTAGACGGAGTGGGTGAAGCAGACTGCGGCTTAACTGTATGATGCAGACATTCAACTTATGTCTGGTAAGTGAAGGGGGATGACCAGCAATTAGCAATTTCCTTTCCTTTCTATAGATAACAAATAAAACTCACCTTCTTTACCAATTAGTTACTAATGGAAAGTTCTGTGTATCTGTAATGTCTAGCCTCACCACTTGTGTCTCCACCACAGGCTACTACGCTGACCCCGAGACAAGGTGCCAAGTCTTCCACATCTGTCAGTTCGAGACAGACACCAAAGTCCTTTGTCCCAACGGCACCATCTTCGATCAGGAGAAATTCAACTGCATCTGGTGGAACGCCGTCGACTGTTCCGCCACCGAGTCGTTCTATAATTTGAATAATGAGATCGGTGTCGTCCCTGCTGATAGCCCGTACCAGGTGCAGCCTCAACCTACTCCTGGCACCGCTACCTTTAACGTCCCCAGCGCCGTCAGACCACCCTCTAACGTCATTCCCCCATCCCAGCCTCAACGACCAGCGACTCCACTTCAACCTAGTCAGCCTCAACGACCAGCGACTCCATTTCGACCTATTCAGCCTCAACGACCAGTGACTCCATTTCGACCTATTCAGCCTCAACGGCCAGCGACTCCACTTCAACCTAGTCAGCCTCAACGGCCAGCGACTCCATTTCGACCTATTCAGCCTCAACGACCAGTGACTCCATTTCGACCTATTAAGCCTCAACGACCAGCTACTCCACTTCGACCTACTCCGCCTCAACAACCACAGCTTCCACCCCGAAGTCCTCCTCGGACCCCTCAACCCCGCCCACCAGTCCAGCATCAACCGCCACAGACTGAAATCCAGTTCCCTGGTCCTCCTTCCCCACCCTCCCAACCCACCCAAACACGCCGGCCCCCAGTGCGAACAACCAGCAAGCCAGCAGTCATAGGTTACATAGACATTGTGCCGGATACTCCCCCAATAGGCCTCTACAACACCCCAAACTTCTAATAAAGAGAGACTAAGGAAGGACAACCCTGAAGACCACCGAAGAAAAAGTACCCATCGCAGGACCAAGATTGCCGGAACACTGAAGCAGGTCTCGTGATCTGTGGACTGCTCTCTGACTCCCGCTCCTTCTATCAACTTGTGGCAGCGGGAAAAAGATGAAGCTACCTCCCTAATGTACACCCACGTTATACTGTAGGAGATGTAAAACACATAAAAAGATCAACACACATACTCTTTATGTGTGTGTGTGTAAATATATATAGTTAACCACTTCCCACAAGTTGTGTACTATCCTCACGATGATAATAATAAGAAACTCTCCAGACATACAGTTACCTCCTAAACTCTGTCCTGTAAGTTATCTCCCTCTAGACTCACTGTGTACAGGAAGCAAGTGGTCATAATTCTCATTAAAACAAGAAATTCCAAAAGATAAGCTGTTTTTACATTGGCTATTGTGATTTAATTTAAGAAACTGGTGGTGCAGCCTAGCCCGGTGCTCACGGAGGTTAACTCAAAAGACCTTTCCCAACGTCTAGCACAAATAATTAAAAGTAAATTGAAGTCAAAATTGTCAGATGATCACCTTACGCTATCGTCTTCCCCGTGATAACAAAATAAGGCAGACCAAGACGGCAACACTCGATTCCTGGTTTGGCTCTGTAATAAGTGTATAAATACGATAATTTCCGAACTCTCCGACATTATTAACACTATTATTCGAATACTGTATGACCTATAGATTTAGTTCAATAAAAAAAAATAAGTAAATGAGCCCAAGATGATATTTGTATACCGTTTGTTGTCAGACAAACGGTATACAAATATCGCTTCGGGAACATACAGGAAAATCACAGAAATTTGTGTATGTTTCTGATTGGATTGTGTACAGTGCTGGTTGCGCTTGCATGTTTTAACCATAGGATTAATAAACACACCTGAAAGTATATCTTTTGTTTTTGTTCCACGTGTGTAAATATTTAGACTTTTTTTAAAACAAACACAACATGATACTCTGAACGTGTTTGCCACTGTTTGAGAAGATATTAATAAGAAACGGATAAGTGGTGAAATTAAACTAAATACTAATACATAAAAAAGTGCCAATAGAACTGTGGCTGCATTTGTCCCTTTACCGTCTAAACTTTTAATATTAGCACAAAATAGCTAGCACTCACTATCGTCCAAAATGTTAATGCTAGCACACACTAGAGTAAAAAATCTTTATACCAGCATAAACTGGCACCCCAAATCCCAATACTAGCACAAACTATCTCAAAACCTTAATACTAGCACAAACTAGCTCTACATTCAGGAGCCAGTGCGTGCTCAGTACTTGCCAACAGTGAGTAACAAACGTTGCACGCACCTCAGATACCCAGAGAGATTAGAGCGCTTGCAATTGCCTAACTTATACTACAGACGGGTAAGAGGGGACCTAATAGAGGTGTATAAGCATCTCAAGGGGCACTACTCAGTTGAGTGCCCTTACTTGAGCTGGCGGACGCTCGCCCCACAAGGGGTCACAGCTCAATGTTGAAGAAGTTGCAAGTCCAGAAAAGTGTGAGGGTAAACTTTTTCGGAGTGAGAGTTGTGAACTGTTGGAACAATCTACCAGAGAGTGTTGTGACGGCACCGAGTGTGAGCTGTCTCAAGACCAGACTTGACCAACACTGGAGCAGGTTCAGGAGCCAGTGACTGCCCAGTACTTGCCAACAAGACAAGTGGCGATGAGGATAAATTTAAAACAATAACATTAGGTCAATTTATGATAGTAGCTAGGTTTCAATTTTCCATAAATACACGATGTCCTATGGTTCCTGTTGTGATTCGAATGAATTTGACTGCGTTTCTAGAGCAACCTAATCCAACCTGACCTAATCTAACCTGACCTAATCTAACCTAACCGAAACCTCGTTACTGCCTTAAATTGACCCAGCATAAATAATTTTCAGAAAGTTGTATTGAAGGGAGGAGGATAAAGAGGCTCTTCATCTTTCTTGCTAATTGTTACATTAGAAGATAAATTTAAAGAAAAATAAAACTCGTTGCCATAGTAACTGATGAATTTGCCAAATAAACAAAAAAATTTTGTTAAAACTATACTACGAACACAACACTTTGACGTACTTATTTTAAAACTGAAGACCTGAGGTATATAAAATCAAGTTAAATGACCATTGAGTATTTGAAATTATATGAAGATAAGTTTGGTCAATTAATGTACCCTGAACACTAATGAATCTTATTTAATATTGCTCGTGGTACATCATAAAACATCAGTCATCTCGCTGGACTGGCTGTTAAGGGAGCGCCGTTGACCTCACACGTTACTCACCACATGTCTATATTTCTGACTCTTGATCCAGTAATTGTAAGGTGGTGTAGTGATGGCAAGAAAAATTGGAGCAGTTTTAATTGACCTAAACGGCACTTTACATATTGAGAACACTGTTATACCTGGTTCAATAGAAGCTCTCAAGAAGTAAGTTAAGTCTCCAAGTTATTATCCTTTATATACTTGTTTTAGATAGACAGGTAGACAATAAAATCGCCAATAAGTTTTTAACTAGTTTAGCTTGAATATTGACTGTGCAGTCAGTGAAAGCAACATGCTATTGAGTTTAATTTAAATACCAATCTCGCATGCTGAATCAATGTAAATTTCTCTAGACGATTTTACTTGTTAAATATATCTTATCTATCAATCAGTCTATCTATCTATCTATCTACGGGCAATATCAAGATTTATTTTATTCCTATACACTGTTCTTTGGTATTTATTTACATTCACACCCGTCTCACATTCGATAAAAAACTTAACATATTTCGATAGTCCAGACAATTCTAAGACACTTTTCTTCTATAACGATATCATCGCAAATTACTCGGCGAAGACCCCGGCTAGGAGTATATAGAACCACCGGGGGTCCAGGGGTGAAGCCCCCGACTAGGGAAGTTAGGTAAGTTTTATCAGGTTAGTTTGCAAACTTATTATTGCATTTTCACTCGTATCCGTTCTCCTCCCACCCAAAACCCAGAGTTCCCACGATAAACAAATGTCAAATTCGTTTCGTTAAAGAGTAATTTGCGACAATTTCGTTATAGAAGAAAGGTGTCTTAGAATTGTCAATATTATTGGACGTTTACATCCTGGGATGAGACGACATCACCGGCACACTACCACCGAGAGGACAAAGCAGTGCCCGCCTGGGTGCCTATTTATAATCATCTACCAAGCGAAGCATTTGCACAAAAATGATCAGAACTCACTGATGAAAATATAGTAAGAAAATAAACATCAAAACAAATACTGCATTGGCAAGTCAGTCAATTTTAACCCTAACCTAACCTAACCTAACCTAGTACAACAAACCTAACCGAACCAAACATAACCTAACCTAACGTAGCCGAGGTTACATTAGATTTATTTTGACATGGTACACGCTTCATTTATTTTCTTTATCTTGTGGACTTTAATGATGCTATCTTATATTCCTTTGTTTTATCTCTGCAGTTAGTGACCATTAAACAGTCACTTCACACAATGCCCATTTGTCTGTTTGTTTGGTACTAGGTCACAGCTCAAGGTTGAAGAAGCCATAAGTTGTGAACTCTTGGAACAATCTGCCGAAGTGTGTTAAGACTGCACCGAGTGTGAGCTGTTTCAAGACCAGACATGCCCAGCGCTTGCCAACAGTGCATAACAGACACATTACCAACCTCCCAAGCGGCTAACAAGCCAACCAGTGGTGAAGAGGATAAAAGTAATTGTGGAGAAGGCAGCTTAAACCAGAAGGGGTTGTTCATTTTCGTTAATTTTTCCTACAGGTGTTCTTTGGATGATATTGAGTAATAAAAACAATACGACAACACGCAGAACCTAATAAAACCTGACCTAACCGACCATAGAATCCTACCTAACCTTAACTAAATTTACCGGACCCCCACCATATTAAACAGAAAGTACTTATTTTGATATCTGGTACCAATGAAAGCAACTTTACTGAAGCATTATGGTGTAATTTTACTTTTTTTTTGTGGATGTGAGAGTATGCTCAGACCAAGCATAAACAAACAGTAGACAACAAAATGTGCTGACAACAGCAGATTTTTTGGAGGAATATTTATGGTAGATATTTAATTGTTTCTCATACAAAGTACATAGAGACATCATTTTAGTGTCATGTGATCAGTTTTTTCACCTTGTTTTACCCCACAATTTCCCTCATCCTTCGTACCCTTCCCACTACAAGTGAGTTATGATCATTGATAGATAAAAAAAAAAAAAAAAACAGCAAAACTAAAAAATTGGATCATTTTTATTGCTGTACTTACTATCATCCAAAGAACATATGTAGAAAAAATTATTGAAATCGAACTCCTGATATTTGCCATCTGCCCAGTATTGTATTACCATTTACTAATACCTGTACAGTGCAGTATTAAGTATGTGTTGATCCGTATATTTTACCCAAGTGGACTCACCTAACCTCACATGACTCAATATTTTTCAAAGATTGTTATTTTAGATAAGGCTACGTACTTCATTTCACTTACTAAAAGAGTTTGAAGTTTAAGAAATTAAATTTGTTAACTTGCAATTTTGTCGCTGCCTCTGTACACAGCAAGTATTTGTACAGTCATTTTTAATGTGTACAAATAGCTCTGTACAGTATTGTTAATATCTTCATTTTTAATGTAGTTTTAATCCATAGGTGATCACTGGACACCACTTATGAAGCAGCAGGTCGATCATTGCCTCTTGAGTACTAATGTGCACTAAGGAAAATGAAAAATCATCATCACTGAACTATACCTGGTACAGTATAAGCAGCAATGAACCACTGATCATTCCTGAAAAAAAGAGGGTAAATTCAGTGATGGTTTGTTTTTATTCACTGCAGCACACATTGCCATACAGGTGGCCTATTTCTGCTTCATAAGAAAATTTAATGTATTTTTGTTCTTTGCCTACCAACAAGATTTACATTTTAGACATTAAGACTTAAATATTGATAATAATCCAATATTAATATAGTGAGGCCATTCTAAGCATGTACAAGTACTGTAACCAGATTCCAAATGTACTCAAATTTAGTGGATTCTCTGCTTTTAACTACTGTACAGTGTTAGGTAGTTTTGTTATTACTTTGTATTACAGTACTGTACAGTAAAACTAAGTGAGATGTTTTGTAAATTTTGTACCATTGCACAGTCATACAAAGGTGTCATTTAAAGATGATATTGATATTTACATTTTACAAATAATCATAGTGTTTTTCAGATTACGAGCATCAAATGTCAAGATCAAGTTTGTCACCAACACCACTAAAGAGTCAAAACGTATTCTTCATGAACGCCTCACAGGTATCGGCTTCAGTATTGACAAAGATGAAATCTTCACTTCCCTGACAGCTGCCCGACAGTTAATTGACAAACAGAATTTGCAACCTTACATGCTGATTGATGATGCTGCCAAAGAGGACTTCAGTGGCATCAGCTCTGAGAACCATAATGCTGTGCTCGTAGGACTGGCTCCTGATAAGTTTAACTATGAACAGATGACGACAGCTTTCAGGTGAGTTTCACTGTCCCAAATTACTTGCAGTTTATTTCTCATTAAATGGTGAACTTATTGATTACTGTGCAGCTCTCTACATGTTGTGCTGTAGAGTTTGGGGAATGTATCATTACTATTAACATAACTTTTACCCACTAAGAATATTTCTTTCAGTGTATCAGATTTTATATAAAGTCAACCCTCGCTTTACGCGGTCCCACTTTACCCGTTTCCACGTTTACGCGGTACCCTGCCGAACACAGAATGCTCACTTTACGCGGTGTGTGTACCCTTTTACGCGGAGAGCGGCGCGAGCAGGGTGCGCACAAGGTCGCCCAGTCATCAAAACATTACCGAGTTCTTCACCCGCCACCCACCACAGCCGGCCCAAGTAAGTGATAGTGATAATGATAGTGAGGATATGGACTTATATGGACTTTGAGGGGTTTGACAAAGAGGCCCTGCAAGCCTCTGTGGTGGATAGTGATACAATTGATACAAGTGGTAAAGGTGAGGGCCAATAATCTGCCTTCTGCCTCGGAACCAACCCCCCATCCCCGTGTGCCCAGCCATCTTTTCTACTAATGTAAGTGTTAAAAAACCTAATATTATTGATATTTCTCTTAATTATTAATTGTGTGTGCATACCATCATAAAATTAAGAAGTTATTTTTACTACAACGTAGGTATTGTGTCTGAAAAAGTGGAGTTTGGGGGTCGGCCTGGTCTCTATTTCAATTAATCCCATGTTATGTTGTTCACTTTACGCGGCCCACCGTGGGTTCAATTGACCGCGTAAAGTGAGGGTTCACTGTACTGTACTGACAACAGACAAAAAATAATATACGGGGTATTTGGTTGAAGTGCTCATGATACAATCAAATGCTATTGATTATTTTAAATATTTTCATATACGTACTGCACAAAAGAGAGTTGTACGTACAATGACCTAGTACTGTACTTGAAAAAACAGATCACACAAACGAAAAATTTGCTAAATTGAAAATGTTAAAATTCGAAGATATTAACACCTACTGCTGTGCTCTCTTTGTTTACAAATCTATTAATCACTTGCTTGACAATAATTATTTCCAGTCCCGGAATAATCAGAGATAAACTTAAGGCACCCGGAGCTACTAAGACCACCCCCCATGTGCTCCTCTCAGTCCCAGACCTCCATAAAATATTACAGTGTGAAGGTGTGGAACAACTTACCCCCACCCATCCGAGCAAAGACTACGCTCCCTTCCTTTAAATCATCTCTAAAAAAATATTCATTGTCTAAGTATTAATATTTCATGTAATACCTACATTAACTTTGAAGATACGAGTGAAAAAACCTTTGAAATAAAGAATATTTTCCGTTGAAGTCACAAATATATTCACGCTTTTGGAGAACACATTACTTCTTCTCTTTTCACTAATTATTATGTATATCAAGACAAACAACACCAAACATATAAAGCAACGGATAATAATGACCATTTTATGAGGAGTAGAATCAAGTGTAAACACACAGGCACGTAAAAGTGTTGTTTAAGATGAACATTACCGGGAGTGTATATACTGGGATGTTAATCAGTTTTATGCATTGCAAAAATTTTCTCATAAGTTCCTATTTGCAGGATATTGCTGGAAGGAGCTCCACTCATAGCTATCCACAAAGGTCGATATTACAGACGAGGTGATGGCCTGGCTCTTGGACCTGGACCATTTGTTGCTGCCTTAGAATATTCAGCCGGTAAGAAGCTCTATTTATTGCTAATGTCTTTCCTCTACACCTAACTTTCGTATGGAAGGATTAAGGTGAAGGGAGGGAAGGTTGGAAGGGAGTGGTGTAATGACAGGAATGGAATAAAGCAAGATGAAACACTCCCTGCACACCAAAATTTAAGAAATTAAAGTCCACCTTTTATAAGATAATAACTTAAGAGTCAGAATCTTTGTTTACAAATGTAAGTAAAATTATGAATGTAATACAGCTACAGTAGTTACCATTGAATGATACCTGATACTACAGTATTAATAAGTTAGTGCCTTAACTTAGGCCAAGTATGAATGGAAATATACCTACTGTACATATACCTGTACTGTATTGTGCAGTACACGCACTCAAAAATTATTCGGCACCCGTGTCATACTGTATCACGCCGTAAGGGTGCCGAATAACTTTCGAGTGGGTGTACATGTATGTCTTGTGCATGTATACATGTGTGTGTGTACAAGTATCATGTACACCCACTAAAAAATTATTTGGTACCCTTATGGCATGACACAATATGACATGGGTGCCAAATAATATTTTAGTGGGTGTACATTATGGCTGTATTTTATTTACATTTATTTACACACATGATGTCCAGATGTCAAATGTTAGATTCCTGAACACCCAGATCATATGCAAACAATTCTTTTTTGAACTTAACTTCTTATGGAACTTGCATGACTTGACCTTTTTTCACCTATACGTACAACATATATTATGCCCATTTTTACTTAGGAGCATGGGTTTTTGTCCATGGTAGAGTACACATAATACTTTACTATACATGACATTAAAAGTGGTAAGGAAGGATTTATTGAGAAGTGTAAGCATCATATTCTCCACAAAGCCTTTTGTCAACTGACTACCCACCACCACCACCATCAGCTAGCCAACACATTCATCTATCTATGATAGACAGCCTTAAGCAAGTAACTACCTGTTTTGCACTTATTTTTACCAGTCTTATGGTATTAAAATAATAAGTACAATTTGTAATACAGTCAACCCTCGCTTTACGCCGTCCCATTTTATGCGTTTCCACGTTTACGCGGTACCCTGCCGAACACGGAATGCTCACTTTCCGCGGTGTGTGTACCCTATTACGCGGAGAGTGGCGTGAGCAGGGTGCGCACAAGGTCGCCCAGTCATCAAAACATTACCGAGTTCTTCACCCGCCACCCACCACAGCCGGCCCAAGTCAGTGATAGTGATAATGATAGTGAGGATATGGACTTATATGGACTTTGAGGGGTTTGACAAAGAGGCCCTGCAAGCCTCTGTGGTGGATAGTGTTACAATTGATACAAGTGATACAGGTGAGGGCCAATAATCTGCCCTCTGCCTCGGAACCAACCCCCCATCCCCGTGTGCCCAGCCATCTTTTCTACTAATGTAAGTGTTAAAAATCCTAATATTATTGATATTTCTCTTAATTATTAATTGTGTGTGCATACCATCATAAAATTAAGAAGTTATTTTTACTACAACGTAGGTATTGTGTCTGAAAAAGTGGAGTTTGGGGGTCGGCCCGGTCTCTATTTCAATTAATCCCATATGTTATGTTGTTCACTTTATGCGTTTCTCACTTTACGCGGGCCGCCGTGGGTTCAATTGACCGCGTAAAGTGAGGGTTCACTGTAATGTAATAATTGTAAGAATGCATAAATTAATTACATAAATTATGATAACGACTAATTTGTTGAGAAGTGTATGCGTCATATTCTCCTCACCACAGATCATTTGTTGTTGTTACTCATTTTGTTTGATTTTGTCTAATTTAATCTTTGAAATTACATTTTTTCTGTTTCTTGGTAAGTTATATGCTCTGCAAAGCACGGCATGTCCATTTTGTACTTATTATGGATGATTTGTGGCAACAACAAGAGATTAGAGAGCACATGAAAGTATCCCCCATCTGTCACTAGATTGAGTCCAGGTCAGTTCTTTGAAGGACAGTTGGTGCACAATAATGCACTGTATATTCTTTATGGCTAAATGTTAGTTTTCAGCTTTTTATGCTTATCTTAAATTATATTATTTTATTCTTATGTATAAATAACTCATAATAAGTTTTAATTGGTGTTTGTAATATAATAAGTGTTGTGAAGTGTGGAAAGTAGCCAAGTGCAAAAAATATTTTATATTATTTTACGCTTATTGATTTAGCAAAACAAATCCAGGTAAAACTAGGTTTTATTATTTTATTTAAGATTTTGTGGGAATTGAGTGGTTGCAGTCCCACTCTTGCAATTATAATGAGGGTCCAGTGTATCCCAATATTATCATTTATTTACTTTGTACTATACAGTGTACATGTACATAAATATACAGTACTGTATTATATATATAAATATACAGTACTGTACTGTATTATGTATTCAAACAATGCCTTCTTCAAGTACAGTTTTTTAATGTTTATAGGTGTGCCACCAGCTGCATCAGACTACTTTTTTTGTGAATTAGTGCACCTGTCATTCCTTTCTAAGAATTCAGTCTGTTTGAGAAAAATGGGAGCAGCTAGTTAATGTCCTGTTCTTTTGCTCAACATTGTTTATGAGAGTTGTTGTTTATTGGGGATTCTTGTGTAGAGAATATCAATCCATTCATTGACAACGTAGAAGCACGGATAGAAATTGGTCTTTTAGTGATATAAAGCCTGGTAAAAGATCTCCTTTCATGCATCTACAAGTACTACAACATTGAGTTTCATCACAAGACTTTCTCAAGGGAATGAATACACAATATGAGTTACTGCCATTTATACACAGAATTTGGACTGCGGTGGTGGGCAGAGCTAAGTCACGTCTCTCTATTGGTCATTTGGTGTCAGTGTTGTCTGTTTTCTCTGCCATATTGTGTATTCATTCCTTTGAAAAAGTCTTGTGATGAAACATCAGGAATAAAGCTTTTAGTTGTGTTTCCTTTATAACCACACTACCATTTGTCTACTATGAACAAAGTAGAATTGTTTAGAAATACTGTACTAAAATGGCTCTTTTATCTTCACAGGATGTAAGGCGCAAACTATAGGTAAACCAGAGACTTCCTTCTTCCAGTCAGCTTTGGATGACCTGGGATGTATTGCCTCAGAAACTGTCATGATTGGAGACGTGAGTATTATTTGTGCACGGTTCAGGTGTCTCGGTAGATCCGTATTTTTATTGTTAGAGAACAGACAAGTTTAGTGTGAGAATTTTTTAGCTTCTTCACTTGTATTGAATTAAGAATAAAATAATGATTTTTAGATATATGTTGAGTGTACTGGCATGTTCGTGTTTTTTATATCTATCATGAACCGTTCCCTGCCTACTGGTATTTCCTCTCTTTTCTGTTTGAGGTTCCTGTACCTCTCACTACCCTGACCTGGGTTAGCTCAGCCTTGGACAGATATGAGAAGGCTGTTATTCAGTGTGATCATACCAAAAAATTGCAGTTTTTCTCAGGATACTCTACCTATACAGGGCTGCCTCACTTATCGCAACTTGTTGCGAATATCGAAATTGCGAGTAGCAGAGCAATTTCTCCATCGAACAGCTAGTAAGCTGATAAATGGTGAAATAATTATTGAAGAAAATGATGGGTATAACACTGTTTCCACTAATCAGTTGTACATATGGGAGATGAAGTGACAGATACAGAGAGTGGGAAAAATAAAAGGATTCAAGTGTTAGAAAGGATGCCACCTTATTACTCAGAATTTTTTAGGCCTAAGTCTTTCCTGATAAGTTTATTTTGATGCACAGATTATAAAACTGATGTTAATGGAGATAGGAAAAAATTAATATGAACTTTAGAAAATAGAGTTATATATATATATATATATATATATATATATATATATATATATATATATATATATATATATATATATATATATATATATATATATATATATATATATATATATATATATTTTTGAACAGTCTCACCAGCAAGGAATGATTCTTGCTGGTGAATATATATATATATATATATATATATATATATATATATATATATATATATATATATATATATATATATATATATATATATATATATATATATATATATATATATATATATATATATATATATATATATATATATATATATATCACCATAAATATGACAACAGTTTGTTTATTCATGTATGATCGAATTGGAGTGTCTGGAGAACTAAATAATTTCCTTTAGCAAATGAAACCAAAACAACCAACCATACCTAACCAATTCTTCAACATTTTATGGACATTTTCCATGCTTGTGTGGATTAGCCACTTTAATCTAAGCTAACTTCTTCATCAGTCATCCCTGATCCTTTTTTATCCATTGTTTACTTTTCTCTTAATACCTTAAATTGAAATTGTTCTAGTGGTTATGTTTTCCTAAGATGGGGAAGTCTCGATGGTTATATGCAATGTCATCGCTGGGTACCTACAGCAACTATTAGAATGGAGTGATCATGTTCTAATATACTTGAATTTAAAGGTTGTGATGTATTATTCCTAGTTCTCTCTCTCTGATTCAATCTTGTTTTTCTGTTTTTCCTGATGGCCAAGTATGATGCCCCAGTTTTGTTTCTTATCTACAGATGCTACAAAAGAGTTACAAGACGAGTAACTGCTCTTTATTCAGTTACTCTATATCCACACAGTAACCTCACTAATTTATTATTTTTTGTTGATAACGTTGTCCTTAAACATTCATGTTATTCCTACAGCTGTTTGCTCCTACAAATATATACTATATATATGAACACAACACAGTACAATTGAAAGGCGAGTGTATAATCCCCATCTTACAGCTGTTTGTCAATTGACCACACCACCACCATGGACCATCCCACATCATCTACCCACCATCCCACATCAGCTACCCACCACCACCTCCATCTACAACCCCTTTATTAATCTTATAACATTAAAACATTAAGCATCTACCTGTAGTAGCTGTAAGAATGAATACAATAATTATTTGAGTTTTGGTAATGAAAGATTTAATTGGAGGCATGTGCATATTCCCTCTCTCACTGCTGTTTATCAATTTATTCCTTCATACCTATTTCATTTAATGTCTAATTTTACCTCTAAAATGATACCTTTACTGTTTTGTAATGTAAGGTGGCGTAGTGAAGTATTGGTAACGATTTGCACTCATTATGCATGTTATGGGGCGATTTCTAAAATAATTATTGCATGCCTGGTACATAAGTCAACTAATCCTGCTACAAGCGTCTTTACATACAGGTCATCACTCGAGATACGAAAATTCGCTTATACGAATTTCCTAAAAAAAGAGAAAAAAGATAATAATTATCATGTTAATAAAAATAAAGGGATTAAATATTTTCGTACCTCAGCATAACTTAGTAGGGAGAGATGGGGGAGTTATGATTATTTTTCAGCTAGTAGCTTAGCTTCGGATAGGTAAACTTAACTTTCTTCACTTTCTTTTTTTTAGTTACATGCGCACACAATCCTACATACATAAGGTACAAAAAGTAAAAGAAATAACTATCATAAGGTCAAAAACATAAAGGGAATAAACATTTCTTTGTATGCGAGAGTTGGGAAGGAGCATTGCTAAGAGTCGGCAGAGGTGGCCAGGCTGGTTGCTATGGCGGCACTTGAGGACGGCTGTGTTTAACTTTGATTTAGCTTTTGCTTGATAGGTTTAGCTGCATATATTCATCTTTATCGTATTTTATTAATGTTTTTAATGTATCAGGTAGTAAATTATAGTAGTTGTGTACTATTTACCATTAGCTAGGCAGGTTTTTTCTCTTTTGTGAACCGATTTCATGTTTTGGGAGGTATTTTTGTCTCTGGAGAACCGAAAACTTTTTTCCCTTGTTTTTCTATTCGAGATATGAATATTCACCTAATGAATCTTCTTTTTGGGGGGGGGACCTAACCCATTCATATCTGTGGATACCTGTCCCTCGTAGGTTCTAGTTAAATGCATTTAATTTTAATTATTTTGTACATATTTTAAAATATAAAAAACACTTACCGGTATATTTTTTAGGGAATCTTCAATATTTCACTAAATTACCTTAATGTATAAAAAAAAATCAGGATAGATTCCATAGTTCTAGGGTAAGGAAATACAACAGAATAGTGAGGTAATTTGCAAAGTAATTTTAATATGTTGGAGTAATTCCATATTGTGGACTAATATGATCAACCCAGATGATATCAAATTAGTGTGGGTTCTGTGTAGGTACAGTATTTATTTCCTGTTTGTAGTGAAAGCAATTGTCTGATGTTTCATTTGTGTAATTGGCCAGGTCATTAGGCACAATTCTTCTTCTACAAAAATTATGAAACCTGATGTGAAATATACTGAAGTACAGTATAGTAGATGGTCAGTAAAGTAAATAAGTATTAATGAAATATGGTAATATCTCCGTTAGTCGGAATCCCTTGAGCCCGGAACTCTTCGATAGCCGGAATTGAAAATTTCTCGGAAAATAGTTCCCAGAGCCGAAATTTTCCGGAAAATTCCGGCTTTGGGAAAAATTTTCCGAGGAGCACATTTATTGGAAAATTCTGAGAAAATTTTCCCGATATCCAGAAAATTCCAGGATGGTTTTTTTTCCGGGTTTGAGAGATGAAAATCGGGCACATTTTTTTGAAATTCCAAGTAAATTTTTCCGTTACCCGGAAAATTCCGGGGATGAGTGATATTTTTCCGGGTTCGAGAGATAATGTAATGGGCAATTTATGGAAGTTCCAAGAACATTTTTCCATTACCCGGAAAATTCCGGGAATGAGGGATATTTTTCCGGCTCTGAGAGTCGTCTCGTTACCCAAAAATCTCTCATTCCCGGAAGTGCTCTGCACCAATTGTTCCGACTAACGGGGAAATCACTGTAACTGGTGCAGTGTTCTACATTTTTTGTGCAGGGAGTCTGATAGGTCAGGCAACATGGGAAAACTGATGTTCTATTTCATATTTTTCAGGTATGGGAATTCTAATAATGATGAAGTCCAATTGAATAGTCACTGAAGTCTCCAGTCCTCACACCTCTCTATTTCTTCCTTTAGGGTCACCTAAATGGTTCTTGGGAGACAACAGATTTTAGATGGTCTAATGAAAGAATAAGAGTTGTGATCTCCAATGATCTTTTTGCCAATTTTATTGGTGCTCTTCACCCAATTTTCATTGAACTGTTACGAGTCCTTCACCTGAAATTTTTTTTATTTAACTATGGTGCAAACCTATGGGATACTATACAATGCACTGTATATTTCTAGTATTAAACAGATAACTAAGAAGTACATATATCTGTCGATACTGTACACTGCATTTACTTTTCTTTGGCCAGTTCTTTAAAAAAATTTGAGAATATTATTACAGTATAAAAAAATTTGAGAATACAGTATTATTACAGTATTAAAAAATACGTTATAACTAAAATTCACATTAATTTAAACTTTTAAGGTTACAGGATTCAACCTTCTGATATTAAAAAAACAAAACAAAACTTGAGATTCTTGTATCTTGGTAATTGTGATAGTATCATACTTCAAAAGGTAACAGAAACTTATTTTTAATCTATTTTCCTTAATCATTACAGGATGTTCAAGATGACGTGGGTGGAGCAAAAAACGCTGGCCTTTTTAGTATGTTGGTCAAGACTGGCAAATATAGATCAGGAGATGAGTTACTTGTAGACCCAATGGTGACGATTGTTGCAGAAAATTTTGCCGAAGCTGTGGACCTTTTAGTTGCTAAGTTGATTAAGCAATGAAGCTATATACTAAGATTCTTCCTCTTAAAAGTGAATTTCTTTTACTTTTTAAACTGATTTTAAAGTATTTAAAAGAAACAACACTTAAGATTCTTCCTCTATAAAGTGAATACTGTACAACATTTATGTGCAAAAGTTGTATAAATAAGTTTTGGATACATCATGAACGTACAGTATCGGCCATTCATGCTTCGCAATATACTGTATTGATCTTGATATGTATATTTTGTTGTTTTATCATTTCACGAAATTATATTCCTAAAATTGCAATAACTGAAGATATATATTTTATTAACTTATGATAAACCGATAAGATAATCTCTTTATCTTATGATTTTTTCCACCCACTCTTGCAAGATCTTTCTCACTATGGAATGGAGTGGCTACAACGAAGAACAAAGACACTGCATTCCCTGATCATAGTCAGTGTTACGGTGCTCCATGTCTTGTTCAGCGTTACTTCTCACCACCAGCTCGTCTTTGCTCATAGGCTGCATCAGTGCTGTCGTGGTGGGAGGCAGGAATACAACTTTTACACTGTCATGCAAGTCATCGAGATTGGGAGGATGAGCTGGAGCATTGTCAAGGATCAGAAGAATTTTGAAGTTAAGGTTCTCCTTGGCACAGTATTCCTTCAGCGCAGGGACGGCGTACACTTTTAAGCACTGGCTAAATATGGCGCCGGTTATCCATGCCTTTTTGTTTGCCTTGTAAATGACAGGAAGGTGATCCTTGGAATAACCTTTCAGGGCCCGTGGGATGGCAGCGCGAGAAATCAGCATAGGCTTCAGTTTGAAGTCACCGGCAGCGTTTGTGCCAAGCAGCAGCATCAAGCGGTCTTTAGCCACTTTAAAACCTGGCGCTCTTTTCTCCTCCTTGGAGATATAGGTCCTCTCAGGCATCCTCTTCCAAAAGAGACCAGTCTCATCCACATTGAAGACTTGCTTCTGTGAGTAGCCTCCTTGCTGGATAATCCGTTTAAAATCTGGTGGGAATGTCTCGGCAACAACCGTATCTGAACTGACAGCTTCACCAGTCATCTTAATATTGTGGAAGTTATAACGACGCTTAAATCATTGAAACCATCCTTGGCTGGCCATAAAGGTCTCTTCCTTCGATCCTTCTCCCTCTTCTGCCTTTAAGTCATCAAACAGGGATCTGGCCTTATGCTGGATAACCATAAGGCTCACAGGGCATTGTGTTGATTCTGGTCCTCCATCCACATTGCCAGCATCTTTTCCACCTTCTCTATCACAGTGCTTCTAGTATGAGTATTCTTAGTATCACTCAGAGAAGAACCACTTCCAGCACTAACCTTAATCTTGTCACTGTTGGTCTGGATAGTACACACTGTTGCGGGAGTTAGACCAAGCACTGCGGCTATGTCCACAGCATGTTCCCCTTTTTCAAATCGGGTTAATTCATCCATTTTCGTAGGAAGGGTAATGGTCTTACGTTGCCTCTTCACTACACTAGCATCAGTAGCACTTGATGGGCGCTTGGAAGCCATTTCGAATGGTTAGAGTACAGTTTTAGAGCAAAAACACTTAAGCACGCACGAATGATGTGAAATCGTAACAGAGACTGGCTTGGCGTCGCTTGGGGACGCTGTGACGTTCACTGAGTGGGGGCAGCGCGCCGATCCGAGAGAGTGTAGCGCAGCCAGACAAGAGTGGGTGATGCGCCGTAGAAAATAGTCCGTGACGACGAAAAACGACGTAGTACCAAAACAATGTTAAGCGGGACGACTTTAAGAGAGGACTTCCTGTATTACTGTAATACCTTGTGCACTCTAACACCACCTCTAACCAGTCCCCACCACCATTACTATCTCACCCTAAAGTAAAACTTACCATCAGTACCCCCATTACTTCACTATCATCACTCTTCATGTCATCTACCTGTGAGTTTGATTACAAGAATGAAGCTCAGTGAACTGTACCTACTGTGTCCAAACCCCCCCTCCCCCAAGTTGTGATAAAACATTAAATCATTTACTGATATTAAATTAACCATAACTGTATATTCTTTTTCATGAGAGAAGAAGAGAATAATAAAAGATTTAGAGGGTAAATTATCTGTACATTAAAAGATGAACATACATTCCAACTATTAAGGTCTAGAGAGCAAAGAGTTATAGGCAGTTACTATCATTCTGGTATCCTAATTTTATGTAATAAGAACCTGGAAGCATTAGAGAAGGTTGTTGATTTTCCACATACTGTACTATACATTAAATAATATATTATTTAGCCACAATGAATTCTTTCTAAAATCAGATATATACGGCATAGAAAAAGTCTTGAACATGTACTCATTCTGTTAAAGGTGATATACATCATTGCTCTTTGGCAACTTCATGATATTCAGATATCAGAGCAAGTTATAAATCATACTCTTGAATCAATGTACGTACAGTATACTGTACATATTAGTACATTATGATATCATATTCTTTGGTCTAACAATATTCTGCAAATGACAACACTACTTTATTACATTGTCAGCTTCCCCCAAAATTCATAATGCTGTATATCCTCAAGCAGACTGAGCATTCACCAACAAAGTGATGAAACTTTTTCTTCTGTCATCATCATCATCGCTACTTCAAAGAAATTTGGGCAAAAGCCACGGTAGTAGCCAGCCATCCCCCAAAATATTTGAATTGCCTTGTAGTTTGTGGGAACAGGCAAGTTACAAATGGCATCTATTTTTGGAGAAATAGAAGCTATTAGTCCACCTCATGAGATTTCATGACCAAGAAATGTGAGTCAGGCCTGAGCATATACACTTTTTACTAAGTTAACTGTCTGGTGGGACTCTTGAAGAACATTCAGAGGGTAGCTACATGGTCTTTCCAATTATCAGAAAGCACAATAACATCATCTAAATATCCTCGTAACCCCTTCAGACCAGAAATTCAGGAACACACAGACCAAGACATTTAATCAGTGGTCAGCCAAGATGTAAAGTCAACACGTCCAGTACTGCCTAGTAAAACCCTTCCATAATTTACGCTCTCACACTAATACTAAAATTAATTCATCGTGTCTGTGGCGAGTTACCGAGTGGATACAAAATCTATCATGAACAGACGAATGGATGGATGGACAGACAGACGGATGGACAGCATCATTGTTTTACTGTATATCCCCAAACTTTCGGTCCAGGAGGAATACCAAGAGAAAAAAATTTAAGGACGGTCAACAAAGAATGGTGCTCCCAATACAGTAAAATGAATGACTCTATCTTTATAAAATTTTGAAAAATTTATGTTTGATGCGTCTAAAAATTACATCGGAAAATACTTGGATGTTCTTAAAATACGAGGTGGTGGTCTAATGCTCCCGAAGTGTGAGGATGTTCCTGAGGCAGGAATGTGAGAACACTCCCTCACATCTAAAACGAGGAGAGATCCAACTCGCCGAAGACATTGGTCTCTGATGAAGAGCTGTGACGGTCAACAATGAAAACTTCAAGATCAAATGGTTCTCTACCCAAAACAGACCTTAATCCTAATTGCTCCTGAGGCATTACTAAGCATTATGGGTGGAGCTCATCAAAATTGGAATCCACTGGAATTAGTACTTACTGGGATTGGGACCTGTTATTACTAAGCTCCAATCCCAATGGTAAGGTTAGGTTGATATATATTAGGCTGGGACCTGTTTGATGAATCAACAGCTGATAGAGACAACATGAGGCCTCCTAAACATGAAGTCGATCAGCTAATAGCCTGTAAACCAGGCTATTACAGCTTGTAAACCAGGACAGCAAGGTGAAAGTCATTTTATTTCAGTGTAGCAAGAGCTTTTCTGGAGAGATACGGATGCCTCTAAAACAGGTGAGTATTTCACTGTAATCATTTGAATGGTTAGGCTCTGCTGGGAATGGGAGGGGGAGGGCTCTGATGGGAATGGGAGGGGGAGGACTGATTCCCTCAAAGACAGCGTGAGGGAAGGGGACACTTTCATATAGACAGCGACGGGACCACAGGCGACCACAAAGACGGAGTCAGGATAAGGAGTGGATCCGACGTCCGTGTGAATGAGTGGGGGCATCACGTTGACTCATTGATAAGGGAGGGACACTGACGTCCTCAAAGATGGAGGGAAAAGCGTAACGTTCCTTTAAAACTGTTGTGGGACGCGAAGGACTCCAGACTTAACTGATGAACACAACAATAATTAATGAATATGATAACTTGGACGTACCTGAGATATGGTGTGTTAATGTCCCTCGAGGAGCTGTTTTAACTCACTTACCTGGAAAAAGAAAAGAACAAATGTAGTTGAGATAACCTGCCGTCTATCTCACACACACACACACACACACACACACACACTTACAGTAACAATGAACCAATGATCTTGGCATTAGTTTATGCCAAATGGATGACTAAGAGAACTTGTTCAATATGTCAAGAACACAACAGTAGTATAGTTACCTTGTGCTGGTGGTCGCGGGAGCCCTGGCACCATACAGGGTCACCTCCTGGCATCGTCTTGACACTTTTATGACACCTTATGGCACTTGACGACACCTTGCTGTATGTACTCAGTGACACACTTTACACCTTGTAATAGTTCAAGACACATTGCAACACTATGACATTAATGACATCATGATATTTTGCAAGAATTCAAAGCATTAATGGCACTTTATGAAATAAATGGGACTTTACAACACTTTGAGAGCCTTCACAGCACCTTACTACACTTTGACACCGTATGACACTATTGTGTGTTGCTTGGACACTTTATAAATATTCGAGACTTTATGACACTGAAACTATATGGCTTTTTAGGGCACTTTAGAACGCTGACACTGATACTTTAGTACAATTACACACTTTAGGTTACTTTGATACATTTAGACACTTCATGACACCCCTCACACTACATAACACTTTTTATTGTGAACCACAACTTACTGCATTATGTTACACTTATTTGACGTAATGGCACTTTATCAGACCAACTGGCAATTAAAGCTCGATATTACAGGAATCATTGTGACATAATGTGACACTTTATGGCACTCTAACACCTTATGCTACTTTAATTAAAAGTATGACACTTGTACCACTCTTAAGATACGTATGTTTTTTTTTTTTGTCCCAACAATTACTTTGTGATACTTACAGTATATAAGTTTCCTTGACACAAACACTTCACACTATTCATATACTTATTAACCAAAACACTTTACAACACTTATAAACACTTTAAGTTACTTACGAACACGTTTTGATATATGTCACTTCATAATACGCACA